TCACCTGAAGAATAAGGTCATATCTCCGAAACCAAAACCACAGAAACTTGGAATTTTCAATGGACGCTAAGAAAGGATAGAGAAGCAGCTATAGCTATACGAAACATCCGGCTTCTGGCAATAAAAACGTTGAGTGCAGAACAGAAAAAACCTGAGGGGGGGGGGGGGTGGCAACCACTGCCCCCCATGTTGCGGGCGAGGATTAAATAATTTGAATATCTGGAAAACAATTTATTCAAACAGGTATTCCAACAGAGTCCCGCTTTTTTATAGGTGACCTCCGATTTGTGTACGTAGCCTCTAAGTTGCCCAGGGGGGCCTCTTATTTGTAGGTACATACAGTACAGAGAGCCTCCTACTTCGACTACTTGCACAGAGAGCCTCCTTTTTGTACATACAGCTAAGCTTCTACAGGTCGAGCGCCGGCCTCCTATTTGTACGTACAGAGAGCCTTATACTGTTACAGAGGGCCTCCTATTTGTCTAGGGGGCCTCCTATAGGTTAATGGCGCCTCCTATTTGTCCAAGTGGCCTCCTATTCGTCTAGGGGGCCTCATATTTGTCCAGGAGGCCTCCTGTTTGTCCAGAAGGTCTCCTATTTATCCAGGGGGCTTCTATTTTCCAGGGGGCCTCCTCTTTATCCAGGGGGCTTCCTACGTGTTCAGGGGCCTCCTATTTGTCCAGGGGCCTCCTATTTATCCAGGGGTCTTCTATTCGACCAAGGATCTCATAATTGTGCAGGGGCCTCTTATTTGTCCAGGGGTCTCCTACTTGGGCCTCCTTTTTTGAAGGGCCTCCTTTTTGTTAAGGGAGCCTTCTAATTGTTCAGGGGCCTCCTATTCGTACAGAGGGCCTCTAGCTCCTACTTGTCCATGGGGGCTCCTATTTGTTCAAGAGGCCCCCTATTTGTACAGGGGGCCTCCCATTTGTACAGGGGCCTCCTATTTGTCCAAGCGGCTGTTATTTTCCTAGGGGCCTCCTATTTGCCCAAGAGCCCTCCTATTTGTCAAGCGGGCCTCCTACTTGTTCAGGGGGCCTCCTATTTGTCCAGGGGGCCTCCTATTGGTTAAAGTAGCCTCCTATTTATCCAGAGGGCTCCTAGTTTCAGGGGGCCTCCTCTTTATCCAGGGGGCCTCCTTCTTGTTCAGAGGGCCTCCTATTTATCCAGGGGCCTTCTATTCGTCCAGGGGGCCTCCTATTTGTCCAGGGGGCCTCCTAATTGTCCAGGGGGCCTCCCTTTGTGAAAGGGGCCTCCTATTTGTCCAGGGGGCTCCTAATTGTCCAGGAGGCCTCCTTTTGTGAAAGGGGCCTCCTGTTTGTCTAGGTCTAGGGCCTCCTATTTGTCCAGGCCCAGGGGGCCTCCTATTCGTATAGAGGGGGCCTCCTATGTCCAATACTTGTCCACGGGGCGGCCTCCTACTTGTTTAGGGGGCCTCCTACTTGCTCAGGGGGCCTCCTATTTGTCCAGGGAGCCTCCCATTTGTCCAACAGGGCCTCCGATTTGTCCAAGGGGCCTCCTATTTATACAGAGAACCTTCTATATGTACATCGGACCTCCGTTTGTAAAGTAGCTGGTGCGTCTCGGGGGCCTCCACTATTGGGGTCCCAAAATGACAATTGGGGTCCCAAATGTTTGCATTGGGGTCCCACATGGGACCTCGAAAGTATACAAAGTTACACCCATGGCTTCATGCTCCCCAAACGGCTTGAAGAGGAGGATGTTACGCCCGGCGACCTGCCGGTGTCAATAAGGGCGAGAATTCGGTGCCGCGCGCCGGCGGAGGCGCCTTATCGGCACCGCGCGCCACGACATCTACCGGGCGGCCGGTCGACCGGTGTAAGGGAATGAATGAGTGGTCTTCTTTCGCATGATAGGGGTGCGCTAGCCCATATTGTCGGAGTGGAAAGTTTCAGTGCGGCATCGGTACCTCTGCCGCAGTGTTCTGTGTCGATGCCCGATGGTTCAGAAAAAAGCCAAGCAGAACTAAGAAAAGACTCAATGCTTCTGGCTAGTTCACTATAAACATCTCGTTTCGAGAATACAGCGCGGCGTTTCACGGCCGCTGCTACCAAGATTGCTGCTACCACGCTGCCGGCAGGCTGACTGACTACATCGTCCGAGTTTGCTGATATCTCCATGGACACCCAATTTGACATGTAGGCTGCTAGCGAGCAGTAATCGCCACGCACTTTGAGAATGTGGATCGATCATGGTTGTTCAATACAAAAGCGCCCGTGAAACAGGACCCAGCTGCCACTCAACATACCATATCGCTTTGTTCATGAGTCAAGACGCGAACTCTGAGCAATAACACAGCTCTTTGCACTGCTGTCGACAACTTACATTGCTTTTAGACGGTGGCTTGCAGCCCACATATGCTGTTGCCAACGGTATGCGGAAATTTGAAGTTTTCTAAGAACAGCAGGAGCTGGCAATGTGCAAGGACAGAATATGGAGACCCCGGCATCGACGTTAGGTTTAACCTACATTAGCACTTAGCAGTTAAAAAAAGGATGACATGCCCGGGAATGACGCGGTGGCCGCCCTGACATCGTGACGAAGTTGGGTGTGAGTAGAGACAATAGCTGGAGTACACATAATATCAAGCGCCCATCAATCCAACCCTTCGGGCAGCAGCAGCATCAGCAGCCCGGCCATGTCCACCGATGCCGCTCAAGATCCGATCCAGAGCCGGCAGAGAGCACGGCTCTGCCCTGACCTGACACATATCCCCGGCGTGTCATGACGGACAGACCATTACCTCGCCTGTATAAATACAATGTATACAGTATACCTAACTTACCTATTTCTAAGTCTCATGTTGAGGCAAGAAGTGATCTGCGTCCAGTTCTACTTCGACGAAGACTCGTATTCAGACCTGGCAAAGAGAGCACGGCTCTGCCCTGTTTCCGCGGCTTCTAATGGCCACATCGATACGAGACATCTCCAATCGTCTGTTTTACCTAACTACAAAACCAGGTTGTTGTGTTGCGATTAGCACGATACAATTGTTGCGTACAGCGTAGATATTTGTTAAATGCGTGATTAATTAGAAATAGGAAAGGTAAACATTGCCATCGTCATTCGCCAAACAGGCGATGTCAAGCATAAGTCTGTCCTTCATGACACGCCGGGGATGTGTGTCAGGTCAGGGCGGCTCTGCCCTGGGGGATGTGTGACGCGCTCTATGCCGGCTCTGGATTCGGGTCTTGAACGACACCGGCGCGGTGGGCACGGCCGGGCTGCCGGTGCCGCTGCTGGATTGAGCGACACAATTGATTTATATGTGTACTCCCGCTATTGTCTCTACTCAATTCGTCACACTGTAAGGGTGGCCAAACTGTCATTCCCAGACATGTTATCTTTTCTTTCGAACTGCTAATCTAAGTAAAACAAACGTCAATCCTTGCAGCTTGATGAATAAACAAAGCGATATGTTACGCTAAGGAGGCAGCTGTATTCTGTAAACGGAATGTTTCGAGTGAATTACCCAGAAGCGTTGAGTCTTTTCTTAGTTCTGTTTGGCTTATTTTCTGAACAATCGACACAGAACAACGCGGCAGAGGTACCGATGCTGCACTGAAACTTTCCGCTCCGACAATATGGGCTAGCGCACCCCTATCATGTGAAAGAAGACCACTCATTTTATTCCCTCCCACCACTGGCCGGCCGGCCGCCCGGTAGATGTCGTGGCGCGCGGTGCCGATAAGGCGCCTCCGCCGGCGCGCGGCGGCGAATTCTCGCCCTTACTGACACCGGCCGGCCGCCGGGCGTGACATGGTCCTCTTCAAGCCGTTTGGGGAGCATGAAGCAGTTAATATTTTTCGGAAAAAAGGGCATCGTTGGACTCAGAAAAGAATACCTCACCACACGAGCCATGAGCCCGTATACTTTTCCAAAATTCGCTTTTTTTGAACAACCCTACTGAGCAGTGTTTGGCTTTCACACGAATGCGATAGTAAGTTATATGAAGTTGACAAAGCAAGCAAAGCAAAGCATGATGCCCCGCGCGTCCGCCCGCGACCACGCCCCGCGTCCGACTCCCGACCGCCGCGTGACCCGAGGCGCCCGGCGGTCACGTGACCTACCGGCCGGGACTGCAAACGGCCTTCACCACCATTCTTGTATGACGTCATATCCTACTGAGGTGCTGATTGGTCGGAATTAGATACCTGAAGGTAATTATCTGCCGTAGTTATTTTTGTTTCATTGTTTTGCGTGTTTTCTTATATGAAATGTAATTAAAAAATTTGTCATATTTTAATCACCATTAAAACATAACTGAATAGGTATAAAAGAGAACTCGATATATCCTTTCCTTGTTTTTAAGAATTCCGGAATTAGATACCCGAGGGAGCAAAGAGGGAGCAAGTTGCCACGCTGATTTAATACCTCATAGTCGAAAGGTGGGCTACTAGAACCAAAAATTGCTGTGTTTGTAAATAAATAAGTGATTTGAGGGCAAAAAATGCCCGGATTTAAACTTCTAAAATTATTTTGAACATAAAATATTTCAGTTTGAGGGATGTTAAGGCCTCTAAGCGTAGGTACTTTTTAGGTATCAAATAAGTTCCTCTGCGAAAGTTCCGTCGTGAAAACGGCCATTGTATATCATTTTAGGTCGAAATATCTGGCACTTGAGTATACACTTGACCCGACAAATAGTTTCAGTGAAAGAATACCACGCGACTTACACTCCCCTAGATAAGCAAATATATTTTATGGCATCATAACGTAAAGTGACTTTTGCGCCATGGCATAGCTTGGTGTTGCTGGGGCCGGGGTGTGCGTTGTAACATCGACGCGCGGTTCTGCACTCCAGAGTGACCCCATAAAATATACGAGTAAACTTGAATGTTGAAAATATTTCACCGTTGAGTGAATTAGAAGATGGTTCCATACTCCATAGTCCAGACCCGCTTGGACTTTCGTATAACAAAACCCACTACAGCGCTGATCCGTGGGTTCACGGTTCGCAGAACGGCTCTCCTCGGACTTACGTGGGGAAGCCGGGCGGTCGCCAGTGGCCGTCCACGCACGTGGCTCCCGACGGGCCGGAGCTTAGCGTGTAGCCCTTCTTGCACTTGAAGGAGATCATTCGATCGTTGCGCACCTTCTTGACGTACTCGCGGTAGTCGTATAATCCCATGTTGCCCACCAAAAGGATTCGGCCGTCCGTCAGGTTGCCAGGGAAACTGCAATACACTGAAGGAGACAGATACTTCATGTCAAGGAACGATAGAAATAATCATACAATTAATTGTACTCCACCTTTGTAAAGTTACGTTTTGCAGTAGCTATGTATGTTTTGACATACTATTTTCATTTACAATGCTAAAAGAAGCTTTAGCATACCATCGCAATCTTGGCTGCGGGATTTATGCAAACAAACAACGAAGGAGCGAAATGTCTTTCGTCATCAGAGAAAGCAATCATATCGCTTATGGTCTAAAATGACACTACGCCATGGTAAGCTGTGGCATCGTCTCTGCCCACCGTCCATCCTCACCGATTTTGCATCGCGGCACGGTGCCGGTCCACTCTCCGTAGGTGCAGGTGGTGATGTTGTCACCCTCGATGACGTAGCCGTCGCGACAGACGAACTTGGCGCGGCTGCCGTGGTCGTTTTTGGGCGCGATCACAAACCCGTGCTCCGGGTCGGGCGGGAGCTCCTTACAACGAGCTGTCGGTGGTCGCACGGAGTTAGAATTGTAACCACTCAGCGGATAGGGGGCGGGTGGAGATGCGAGAACACTGACGCGTTTGAGTAGTTTCTTCTTTTGGCTATTGAACTTTCTGTTGAAAACAATATCTTTTTTATAAACGGTGAACTAACTCCTACCTCATTTGAAGGGGGCAATCCTAATTTATGACGCCCACAGCAATATCAGCGGCATTCAGTTACCGTAATTTTGATGAAGAACGTCCCATGCCGGTATCACAACAGACAGTCTCTCCCAGTTCTGCGCCGCACCAATCTTCCGGTTCGCCATTGGCATGCATTGGTCGGTACCGTGGTTAGCGAACAGACAGGCAAACACTGCTCACGGCTTCTCACAGGCGCGTGCCGTGCACGTAGCACGCTAACGTAATAACCGACTGGTGAGAAAACAACGTCTCGCTGTCCATGCCCGCAGTTTGATGGGAGCCTCCGGCTGGGTCGATGGAGAGGTCAGACAGGAGTGGTCCGAGGGAAGGTCAGGGAGGGAGGAGGGGGAAGGGGAGCTCTTCATCAACCGGGACATGGCAGTGGAGATGGCGGGATCGATCGGTGATATTTCTTGTCATTTTCCCGAACAGGAGAGCCGACTTCATGAGAACTCATTTTGATACATTAATTAACTCGTATTTCTCCGTATGCTGTGATAAAAGTAGCGCACGGCTGACGATTTGACTCACCTGGGACACAGATGGGTACATGAGTCCACGTTCCGTTGTAGCACACAGGCATCTGATGAGACAGCTGCATCTCGTACCGGTCACGGCATTTGACCGTGATGTTCTCTCCGTGCATTATTAGGTCAGATGTGGCGTTGATGATTTCACCTTGAGGCACCCGTGGAAGGGTGCATGGTCCTGGGGAAATAAAACAGCTCGTCAGACATCATATTATCATTAATTGATTTCTTACATTTTGACATTTTCATATCAATATATCAATCCATCCAGATCAGTCAGAAGAATAGTCGCACTTCTCCCATTTTTAGAACAGAACATTGCATATAATCGAACTTAAACTTAACCCGCGCCCGGCTGGGGGTCCTGGATTTCCACGCCCTGCTGGGGGGGGGGGGGTGTTTGAACACCCCCCCTTCTAACTCGGCTCCTGGGCCACGTAGCGATACGCGGAAGGCGGCGTTCGAAAGAGCGTCAAAAATAATGACGAAATCACTTCGGTATATTTTTTGGTCAGGTCAAAGGTCAGGTCACCAGAGGTCATTGAAGGCAAAATTTCGCCGATTTCCAGGTCGATTGTCGACAATTTCCAAGAAGCCAACGCATAACTCGGGAACCAATAGAGCTACAGCGCCGCGGAAAAGCGCATTCGATAGCACTATTAACGCCCTTTCTGAGTAATTTTCTCAGATTTGACCTAACGTCAACGGTTTTGCCTGCAGGGGGCAAAAACTGCAAAAATAGCCGATTTTTTCGGAAACAGTTTTTCTGCAATAACTTTTGACCCAAGCATTGTACGAGCTTACTTTTACCGGCATCGTGTTCCTCTCGTCAAGACGCATCGAATGAACTATAACTTGACCTTGAAAGGTCAACTTGAAAATTTGACCTCAGGTCAAGGTCATGACCTGACCGGAAAGGGTCATGTTGCATATCAGTCGATCCGTATCGTCGAGCTGAACACAGCTAAGGTGTTTTCATCGCTCTAGCATGCCTCTATCAAAAGTTATTTGCGAAAAATTGTTAGATACCATTCGTGACCTAAGATGACCTCAGGGCATAAACAGGGGTCACGGACACCATTTTCATGTTCAGTGTGTCTCAACCACTTGTAATTCAGTGTTTGGGAGTGTTTATAATGTCTTTCGTCCAAAAGAGACGCATTTCAATTTTCTCCCATTGACTTATAATGGGGAGGTCGCAAAATTGACCTGACCTTAGGTCATCAATATCAAAATTCTGAGATATACATTTTGTACATGCTATTGCTCTTAGCAATCGCTGAAAGTTTCAAAGCGATCGGTCACTCGGTGAAGCTATGACAGACATTGAAACTTTTTATGAGGTGAGGTCACTTCAAGTGACCTGGTGACCTGACCTTGAATGACCTTGGTCTGAAATTTGCACAACATGTGTAGAATTGATGTATGGTAAGGTGTACCAAAAACGGCGGCGCTCCGCGCCGCCGTTTTTTAGATATTCGCGAAAAACCACAAGGGGGGGTGTTCAAACACCCCCCCAGCAGGGCGCGGGTTAATAAAGAAGACTCGAGCCGACTAGGCGCTCACCCGAGATTCTTACAGTCAGCACTCACCCATGCACTTGGGCAGCGGGTGTGACCAGCCGCCGTTGCTGGAGCAGGTGGCCGATTCGGACTGACCAACCCGCACCGTGTCCTTGTTGCAATGGAACGTGATCTGGGAGTTCACCAGGGTCGAGTTGCCGCCGATCCAGCCGTTGTGCAGCGGGCCAGGCATCGGACACTTGATCTCGGTCAGCACTGAAACGTGCAAGAAAGACGAAGGTGTTTGGTGACCTTCAAAAATTATTCAAGAACCGACGAATGAATGATACGTAGCCTCATCGCTCTCAAACATGGCAAGTCCAACAAAATGCTGGTTAGAAGAGTGGCAAGGTTTCCAAATTACGGTCTCGTGCACTTTTTGTTCAACAAATATATGAATTTGTTTTTTATTCTTACTCGTCCATGCGAATTCAACTTATTTGAATTAGCGGCTAACAAGACGGATGTAGTTTATCAACGTGGCGTGCGTAGGAGTTCGTATGCGAAGTGCCAGTGCTATACGCTCATTTGCTAGCCAAGGGAGAGGGTGAGCAGTGAGCACGCCCTCTTGCTCTGCAGAGCAATAATCAAGGTATGCCTCGATTATTTCTGTAGGCACGAGTATCAAGACCTGCGGTGCGATAAAATGATTCGTAAAGCAGTTTATGAAACAATCAAAGCATAGATAAATAAGAGCGTAGCGTGACTTATGACAAGCTATAAATCAGGTTACGATTATGTAAAGGCGCTCTCAGGGAAGGACAGCCGAACCAATCAATCCTCTTTGTCACATCGTTCCGGTGAATAAATTCACCATTCGTCACAGGCAGATATGAGGTCGTTGGTAGTCTCGCTTCCATGAGTCAGAATAACCTGTCTGGACCAGTCCAGGACACAGCTACGACAGGTTGATTTCTTGGAGATGGACATAGATCGTCATTTATTAATGATTAGTTAGTTCGACCGTGAAACAGCCCCAGAGAACGACAGCGTCGATATCCTTACTTGATTTGGTGATGAATTTGGTTCTCAAAATAGCTCCCAAGATACAGCTAAAAGGTGAGGGTTAAAACTAGCATTTTAACAATATATTAAAATATTGTTCAAATTAGGGGTGATTTTTTTTAACTAAGGGGTGATTTGTCAAAACTAACAATATTCATTTTCCAACATTCTCCTCGTTCCGGCCGTGGCGCAAGACCTACCTTGACAGACGGGCTCGTCGCCGCTCCAGCGCTTGTCCGGCTGACATGTTCGAGCGACACTGCCGACCAGAACGTAGCCAGGCTGACAGGAGTAGTGGACTATGGAGGAGACGGTGGTCGTCTTCACCTCGACACGGCCGTACAGAGGTGTCCGCGGAGGTGAGCACTGAACCGCTGTGGGGAGGTGGGGGGGGGGGGGGGTGTCAAGTGTCAGCATGGATCGGTGGCACGGATTTGTGAGTACATTGCTTGATGCTCATTGCCGATGCGTACCAGTCAGACCAACACATTTTTTTGTATTTCCTACATCAGCTCACAGCATCAGAAAAATGCCTGGCAGGAATAAAAATTAACTACGTAAAACATACTAGTTTAAAAAACAGCGGGCTTTACCGTTTACTTACTCACTTGTTATTTGCTCTAATTAAATGCAAGCTTTGTTATTCAGACTACCTACTGGGGCACCCTGTTTACCTCTACCACCCCAACTCACGTGTGCATGTGGGCAGCTCGGAGGGCTGCCAGGTGCCGTCGCTCTGGCAGTAGGTGTTGGCCCGTCCGACCAGCTCGAAGCCCTGGTCACACTGGTAGCTGGCCCGGCACAGGTACGCCGAACAATTGCTCTCCAGCTGTCCGTGCTCAATGCTCCGCGGGGGCGGACAGTGCTTGGCTGCAGTGAAGGCAGTAGGGTACAATTGTCGGACACCAATATAAAGAGACTTAGGTAAGTCTGAAACAGGCTCTTTCCGCAGTCAGGAAATCGCATGCGAGAGCCTATTCAAATGCATGGAAGCACGCTCGCATCAATCGCACGCACCTCCGGAATGCGATTGACGCGGGAAGAATTATAATGTATTTAAATAGGCTCTCGCATGCGATTTCCTGAATGCGGAAAGAGTCTGTTTGAGCCTTAAGCCAGCGTCCAATCGCTTGAATATGGACTGCTTCACAATGTGTTGAATGTTCGTGTTTCCAGCACTCATCTTGTAGGTACTGAAGAAATGTTTACACTAAAAATGCAAGAAGTGTGCGGCTGTGCGCATATTATAAACAAAAAGCTGCAGCAATCCCAGATTCAGTTTCCACCGTATGAGCACCTTATCCATGATCGCCCGTTTCCAAAAGAAGGCATCGTTAAGTTGGCGCTTGGCTGCGGGAGGAATTCCTCGCAAGATTTATGAAAGTTAGTTAAAAAAAAACAGAATCTAGCGGAAAATTACATCACTCACGGTCACAATGCATGTCGGGCCCGAACCACTTGGCAGTGTCATTATACATGAGACACTTGGCCTCGGAGAACATGCCCCGGCTCTGATAGCCCGGGTAGCACGAGTAGTAGAGCGTCGTGTTCAGGTCGAACGTGCTAAGGTCATAGGAGGCGTTATGACGCGCGTTGGTGATGTTTGGCGAGCCAACGCAGAACACTGAAACAGCAGAGAAACGGGTGAGGCATGGTGAATTGAAAAAGAGTATGGATCATCAGGACGGTAATGTGATGGACTTATTATGCTGTACTATGATGATTCGTATTCCTTTCATTGCGCTTGTGTGAAAGCCTTCTTGAATTTATGCTGGGGTCTTGCCGATTATATAACTTGCCTTCATGCTTTTCGGCTATACGAGAATAGTTGGCGGTAAAATATTGATCAGTGAAATGGCAAAAGGTTCTATAGACACAAATATTCACTTAGAGTGAGGTGTCTTCACTCTATGAAAGAACTGTTATAGCTGAGCAGATGAACCACCACAATTGACAGCTTTTCGCAGTTCACTTGGGTATCGAGTAAATCAACCAAATAGTCATGATTTCGTGCCACCAAATCCGAAAATAAATAGGCGAGAAGAATTGGAGGTTTAGAAGGAACCGACCAGGGACCAACTTCAAATGATAGTTGGCCCCTCAGACCGTCAGGCCGTAGAGGCATGCTGTACGACCGGAGCGCCTGATACCATGACCTCAGCATTCTTTCGCGTGGTGCTGAGGCATTCAAACCACCTTGCATTTTGCCAAATCCACGTGATTTGCCAGATTTCTGTCAGACGCTCGAACAGCCTCTGACATTGAACCCATTGACACTGCCTCGTAGCTGATTTCATCTGTCGCCGGGCACGCCAGCTGGCTGAGACTGTACCCGTTTTGAAATAAGAGCCGCCGACGACCAGCGAGATGCGGCTCAGCAATATTTCAACATTCGCCCAACGCCACGATTGTTTTAATAATTTACCATATTTTCAAAAGTATTCAACAAAAACAATTCGTAAGTACCCACATTTACGAACGTATGCTCAGTAATGTCGTTGTTTCAATGCCTAAGGATATGGTACCATGACCTAAAACATCGGTCACGGATCTCATTTTCTCACGTCATATTGGTCAAATGGCGGATATAAGTCGAAATAGACAACAGTACGTCTGACATGGCAAAGCCAAGACGGATGAGTCTATAAAGTAGCGTGAATTGAGGACATTGACAACGCATCACAACTAGGATCACTTTCGCATAAGAGACTGAAAGTCGCCACGATAATCATGCTTTCACTGTGTGCTTGGAAATCAAATGTGACAAAAATGCACTGTTTTGGGCCTTGCCACCTGAAATTTCCTCCTTGAGTAGGAGCTATAGGAAATCCAAACTGACGAAATCTATTAAATGAACAAAGTCCACGAAATAAGCAGCAATAATGCTTGACGAATGCATGATTGAATGCTTTCAGTCTAGTTAGTAACACTTCATTCAGTCCTCTTACAATTTGATACGATCGCTGAAGTCAACTGTCTATCATCCACTCGGCGAAACTTGGGTGTGAAGTGTTTTGACGGAAAAGTTGTCCCGCTACTTCACCGGATAGATCACACTTACGACATTTGCATCAGTGTTGTGTCATCCTAACTTTCCGCAGTCAATGAGACGGTGTGGACATTAGCAAAAACATCACATTAAACAAGAGTTTCTACTTTACACTGCAGGGGTTCTAAGCATTTTCGGAGTTGAAAGTTTTCCTTTTTCTGAGTCCTACTTTTTACATAAAAGCAGCTAGACGATTGTTTGACTAATGTGTCATCGGGGCTATAATTTCGTCAATTTTTTGTGAAAATATGACCGAAAACCAAATTATCAAGCATTCCATGATGGTAATGGCGCAAGACATTCGATTGTTCTGTATGATCTGATATCGATTGCTATTGATCGCCAACAATGATCGTTATTGAAAGATCGCACTCAACCATGCATGTTACACCACATCCTTGCCTTCTATCCCGTGCCTCATACACGAAAAGCCCTGCCGTGTCCACCAAGACGGCACATCTCCACGGGAGGTCGCCGATGTCCGGACATGGGACGCCACCGAAACGGCGTCGTCTCATCGTCCGGCTCGGTGGCCGGTGATTTACCGCAGCGCAAATCATACACGGGCCGGCGCCGGTCAGCCAGCCGCGGCCATCATCTCATCAGACCGGTCATAAGAGGCGGCCTGATGACCAGACTGGCATGTCAGCGGTGCGCCCGGCGGCGGCGGCGGCGGGCCGGCACATTTGGCCCGGACGATGGGGACGAGGTCATCTCCTGTCGGCGGTCGGCCCGCCGGTAAATCGCCGCCATCTATTCGTGCGTCAAGCTCGACCCGACAGCGGCGGCGGAGCAGCGAGCGGCCCGATGTCGGACACGCAGAGGCGATCTGAGATGGATAGATCTGGTGGGCACCGTGGAGAAACGAAATATCGTGCGTTTGTTGATTTTAAATTATCGTCATAAGCCAGTCAATTAATGGAAACAATAGTTTTTACTTCATTCAGCGGTATGCTTTTGCTTTGTCAATTCCAAATAATGTGCCTTGGAGCCGATTGAGACCCTATTTACATAAGAACACAGTGAAGGGCTATAAGGCAATAGTCATTGGGAAGGTGCGTTTCTAGGCACAGTGATATTCAAGCTTGAAATTACTAGTAAAGTCAAATGGTTATTTATTCCAAATGCATAAGCGAAAACAGGTATTACAAACGGAGCTTACATTGAACATCGGCAAAAAGGAAGTGCATTTGTAATGCTCTTTGTACAAGCATTTGTTTAATGTGTTTCCATTCTTTTATATTTAAATAATGCCTTTACTCTTACCCAGTATTTTTTTTTGCTTGTGTTCATCACTTTATGTAACCACATTACTCCATCTCAACTGGAAGTGGCTTTATGTGGATTAAAACCAAGCCGGTTCTTTGGATTCATTCACTGCTTTGGAGAGCGTTACGCGTTCCGTAATCTTCTTGAATTTCGCCCTAGGACTCTGGACAATTTCATCTTAACCGACCAAATGCTGATGAAGCCATCCGAGCGACCGAGGGCTCCCGAGACGGAGCGTTAAGGCTGATTAACGGCGTCCCCCGGCCGTATGACGTCATTAGAAACAAAACTAATCAACGGTGGACATAACTGTAATGAAATGGCGGCACAGGTCGCGTTCTTTTATATCAATAGTGACACTTCACTCGCAAAGCTTTAAAATTTACTTGTTTATATTCCAGTTTTTGTAAAATAACTTACATGTTATTTGTTCCACAGCGATTAAATTAAGAGGATCGAGAGCAAAAAAAAAAATAATAAAATGATCGGAGAGAGCCATAGACAGCAGTCAGTTTGTGTGCGGTATGCAGCGCCTGGATGGAATTCGAATGACGGCATTCCACGCCCCACGGATTGAAAGTGTCGGCTCGAGTGTTCTGGAGATTGGCAGCACAGCTTTAAGCACGGAATATATAGTCTACGACATGGAATGGACAAGATCGAGATTTCCTGTAACTGCCAAGTTTTTGGCGACCTGATGATTTAGTCGTGCGGATTCGCTGTGGTTACCTCCTTTACAAGGATGAAAGTATAGTTGCCAGACCTATAACTAATAGGGGAAGGTGGGGCATAATGGGGTACCGGGGCAATATGAGAAGGTGCATTTTATTCTAATCAGGTGTTGCTGTCTGGAATCACTTCTGACAATTAAAACTTGCTCGTTTGTCGCCCTTTTCCGGTGGACGCCGGCGGGAGGCGGCGTTGCTGAGGATGGTGGGTAAGGTTTTTTTCATGGTGCTGATGTATTTTTCAACATTCGTTTGGTAACTTCCTAGGTGAAAATCCGTTCGAGTAGGTTTGTCATAGTCAGTGAAAGCAATGACTCTCGTCCTAGCCAACCTTTCGCTGCGATAGAAAGTTGTCGGCTGTTTTGATAAACATGAACGATCCTGCTCTATTGCCAATGTCCTTCGGGGGTTAAAACCATTAAAACGGGTTTCCGGTAGAGGCGATATGGGGTGGTGAATTTTACCACATTTACCCCATTTACGTGCCCAGAAGTGCTTTTTTTGTTACAGTTAAAACTAGTTGCCTTTATTGGCCCACTCACGTTTCATAAATGCATTTAGAGGAGGGGTTGTGTTAAACGTTTCAAACCGTTTTCATAATGTTTCTTCATTATAAGTAGGTACACAGGCACCGTGTATGTGCCTAATATATATTTTTGCCGAGATAAACTCTTTCATTTTCAGTAGCTTGGATCTTGGTTTAAGCGGCGAGTGCACAGAAACGTGTACTCAGCAGCCTGACACAAGTCCCAGATTTTCACCACGCCTTTTGTATAGTTTGTCGCAGTCCTCGAACGGAGTCGATGCTGGCGCCGCCACCGACCGTCCACCGCTGCAGCCAGGCGTCGCTCTCCTGAAGAAACTGCATGTGTTCTCCCGCCGTTGCTGGGCATAGCTGACATTGTAGGGCATAGCTGACTTTCATTTTTTTCAAAGCTGTTTGGCCTGATGTGTTTCTGGCTTAGTTTTGGAGCAGCCCGTGGGGAAGAAGCGCATTCCAGTGCGTAGTGTTTCTAAATGACTCCAAGAGGCTACTTCACCGTCTACTTCAATATCGTATTTCATTAATGCATTTCGTATGCATTTGAAGATGTGAGGCACGTCATACAGAGCAGCAACCTCGTGCCCGTCCACGGTGAACGAGCCGGTTTCCGCAGCTCCGAGCAGTCTGTAGATCGCCTGGTTGTTCTTTGACATGTCACAAGTTGTAGCTAGCACAGTGAATCCCGCTGTTGTTACACGTTGGACACACTGTGTTAACAGCTGCTGCTGCACAACGGCCTTGGTCGTTCCGGAACTCAGAAAGAAACCGATGGGCTGTTTCCAGCGTTTGGTGACACTGACGCCCCGCACCATCATGACCAAGGCGTGGTCGGCGCAGGCATTGGCGCGGCAGAGAGAGCCATGATCAGTGAAGCCCTCGATGACGTCATCACCCCGCTGGTAGGCCAACTTTGGTTTCAGCTGCATTTCGTCGAACGAAATGATGCACAGCTTGTCCTTGGCACTTGTCCCGGCGAACTTCTCTTTTATGAGAGCCAAGATAGCGTCATGAAAGCCAGGTCTCATCTGTATTTT